AAGCGTCAAAAAACACCTTGACGTTTCTATCTGGAGCCTTTGCATTTGAGTTCAGACGCCCCCGACGCTCGTGTCTGTGACGTCGTGGACGAACGGGACAAAAATACTTGACGTGCGTCCGTTGCCCTGGAAACAAGAGCCCGGTCCTGGACTTTTCCCGAAACAATGTCAGACCAGACTGAGACTTTAGTGTTTTTATCACATAAAACATCAGCGGAGGAAATCGACTCGACGACTGGAGCGAGTTTATATTTATACTCCACTAATGACACTGGATCAGTCCTGGTCTAGTCCTTGTTTAGTCCTGGTCTAGTCCTAGTCTAGTCTCGGTCTGGTCCTGGTTTAGTCCTGGTTTAGTCCTGGTGATCGTCTCGGTGTTTGTGGTGTTTATATTCATGTTCCGCTCATGTTTGTGGTTCTGGTTCTGGGGTTTTTCTTCCTGATAATGACGTCGCTGTGTCTCTGGATACTCGTCCCTGATTGGTTGACACGACGTGTCTGACGCGAAAAGTTCAGCATTTTCAACTTCTTGACGCTGACGTCTTGGACACACGTCTAGAGCGTCGACTCCAAAACGCTCAAGACTCACCGCGTCAACGCCAGATTCTCGCCGCGCTGACGCTGAAGGCCGCAAAAACACAGGACGCTCTAGACGCGCGTCCACATCGACTTTACATAGAAACTGGACGATTTGACGCCTTGGTGTGAACGAACCTTAACAGGTCTAAAACCAGGACTAAACCAGGACTAAACCAGGTCTAAACCAGGACTAAAACAGGATTTAACCAGGACTAAACCATGCCGCTGGACCTCCCAACCTAACGCTTGATCGTGGGACTGAACATTTTGTCCGGCGCAGACCTCTGCTTTGTGGAGCTCGTCGGTGGGAGATTTGGTGACGTCTGTGATGATTTGTGATGATTTATGAAGCTGCTGGAAACACGCGACACACATTTACGTAGAAAAACATCAACTGGAAATCCCGTAAAAAAGTTCTATCCTCCAGTTGAGTGGAGCCGGGATCAGTAGGAGATCGGCGAGCGACTTCGTGTTTGGAAGGCGGCGGATAGTGCGTTCGCTGTGTCCATGTATATAAACAGTTTATGACCAGAACAAGCTTCATCTGATCTGCCCGTCTGTGTTAAACATCATCAGCCTCTAGAATGTTCCAGTGAGTGCCCTTTGACCTTTGCTGTGCCCGAACAGCTTGGTGTTGGCGCTGGCTCCTGGAGGCTGGTCGCTGTAGCTCAGGAACCCGAAGCTCGGCGGCTGAAACAGAGACAGAGGAGAGGATTTGTGGAAGTATTTATCAACTTTTATTCTTATTTTTATGATTAACAAGTGAGTTTAAGGATGCACTCACACGAGGACTTTAGGACCAAGTGCAGATCGACCCTAAAGCTCCAGTACGTTTGGCTCGTCGGTGCGAGCGCCGATCAACTGTGGGAGTTTGGCCCGGTCGGAGGAGGTGTACGGGAGCCGAGAGGGGTCACAACAAACGCCAACGCCGCGACAAATACAAATGTGACGACACAAAAAAAGCCACAACAAACCAAAAAAAAAAAAAAGACAACACTCCAAAAAAAGCCACAACACACCAAAAAAAAAACAACACCACTCCAAAAAAAAGCCACAACACACCAAAAAAATCCACAACACACCAAAAACAAAAAAACAACACTCCAAAAAAGCCACAACACACCAAAAAGAGCCACAACACACCAAAAAAAAAAAAAATAACACAACACACCACAGCCGTATTCTATTTTAATGCAAACGCCGCAACAAATACAAATGCGACAACACAACAAAAAGCCACAACAAACCAAAAAAAAAGCCACAACACACCAAAAAAAGCCACAACACACCAAAAAAAAACACCAAAAAAAGCCACAACACACCAAAAAACAAACAAACACACAACACACCAAAAAACAAACACACAACACACCAAAAAACAAACAAACACACAACACACCAAAAAAAGCCACAACAAACCAAAAAAAAAAAAACACCAAAAAAAGCCACAACAAACCAAAAAAAGCCACAACAGAAATGACCGTGGGACTCTATTTTCCGACGGACCGATCATAATTTTTTATGATCGGTTATTATTATTATAGTAATTTATTGTTTTATCATTATTTGTTTCACGTTGTAGTTCTTCTTCTTCACTTGCCGCTTGATCGGTCCGTCGGAAAATAGAGTCCCACTGTCACTTCTGTTGTGGCTTTTTAATGTGTTGTGGCTTGTTGTTGTGTTGTGGCTTTTGTATTTGTTGCGGCGTTTGTGTTTGTTGTGACCCTCTCGGCTTCTGTAGGTAGATGTGGGACAGAACACAGCACAGAGTTCACGTACATGTTGATGTTACTCATACGATAAAAACGATAAAAACAGTGAATAAAGTTGCTCCAAAACACACGGCGAATCCGCGCTGTGACTGTGACAGAGACAATGTCCTCAAAGCTCCACTCGGTTTTTATCTCCAGAAACTCACAGAGGAGCGAAGCGCAGCAGGACTCACATCTGTCCCATTGTTTAACAGATATTTCTGCCGCTGGACTTATTTTCTCTGCTCCACACGTAAACAAACGGCGCCGTGTGATGACGTCATCGCGGCTCGGTTCGGTTCTGCAGGTGTGAGTGCAGAACATAGAACCCACAGAAATCTGCACGGTTCTAAAGTCCAAGTGTTTGGAACAGACTGTAGAAGAGTTGAGTTGTAAGTTGAGGCTGGCAGTGGATCCACATTTGTAAAAAATGAGTTACAAAAGGGAATCAGGGAGAGGTAGTTCTGTTTTTAGCTACAACTGTAGATTTTCACTCGATCAGAAATCTTTTGTCACAGTGGTTAAAATTGTGACGCAGACACTTGGTTTAACAGTAGTTCATTTGTTTACCTGTTGCTATGGTAATGAGATTAACTGTTCCCTCGTAATGACACAGGCTCCTGAAAAGGTTTTCTTTAAATTAGGGCCGGGCACATTAACACGTTAACTTTGCGTTAACTAATTAAGTCATTAACGCCGACAATTAGTTTAACGCCGTTAATGCAGTTTTTATTATTTATTTATTTATTTATTTTATTATAAATGTCTGTTTCTCACTGGCTTTTATTTTGAAAAAGTCCACCGCGAGCGTTTCTTTAAGTTTGACGTCTTTTCTTTACACTTTTTTCACTTTTTTCTGACCACGTGAGATGCAACGTGTCCGAGCTTCCGCGAGCCGCAGCTCCGGTTGCGAGTTCGGCCGCGGCTCTGGCTCTGGCCGGACCAGCCGTGGCTCTGAGCTGAGCTTATTTCTTGAGTTCAGTGTTGGAGTCACTGATTGACCCAGATACAACTGGAAGAAAAACTGTGATTGGTCCATTTCCATTCCATTATATTAACCCTTTGTTTCCAAGAAATATCAGTCCAAGTTTATAACACTGATGTAGAAATTATTACTAGTGTCGTGTTCATTACTCACAGCATAAAAAATATTCAATAAATATATTAGTAGTACAAACGTCCATTCAGTATTTTTTCTTGAGTCTTCACTGAACAGGTTCTGAGGTTTCCCTGTGAAAGAAATGTTCTGTTTGCACAACAAACGTTTGGCTCTTTCATTTACATTTCCAATAAAAGACACTATACTCTACTTTTTAATTCATTAATTGGTTTTGCGTATAATATGCGATTAATCTTGATTAATTTTTTTTTATTTTTGCCCAACCCTACTTTAAATCCGTTATAGTTTTTTTCTTGAGTTTTCAGATTTAAAGCAGAACTAAGTTAATGAATGTTTCTGAAAGAGCCTCTGATGGTTCCATGTGACATTTTGAGGTGTTTGAAGGGAACACTAGCGCCCCCCGCTGTCTCTGGGCGGAAAAAACACACATGCAACTTGGTTCCACCGACCTGGTGTGAGCTCTCAGGGCTCAGTGCTCGCGAGAGCCAAATTACTTTACAGCACTTCAACAGACACATGTGACCGAGCTGCGACACTCCCCTTACTGACGCTGTTCTCAGATCACTGCAAGAATAAATATCTGTTGTTTATTTGTGAGGTGTCAGTCGTGGCACAACCAGCTCAGAGACAGAGGAAACTTTTGTCCAAGGAAAAGAAAACCTGACTCTGACAGAGCTCGAGCTCACAGGACTCGATGAGTGCGTTTACATGCACATCAATAACCCGGTTATGATCGAGTTTTTTGAGTGAGTATCCCGGTTTCTTTCAACGGTCCGATACAGCGAACGCATCACTGCCGAAGCTGCACCTGTCCACCTGTCAATCTCACATTCTGTCCTCCCCTCCCTCGAGAACAAGACCCCGAGATACTTGAACTCCTCCACTTGAGGCAACTTTAACCCAGATGTAAAATCAACCTGAACGTTTCACAGTGTCGCGTTTGTGTGGATCAACCCGTCTGGAATTTGGAGGGGGATTTAGAATGATATTATTTATTTAAAAAGTAAAATAACATTACCCAGCTGAGTGTAAGCGCTGGGGAGAGGATTTATGACAGTGCATTTTCACCAGTGACCTGTTGGGGGAGCACTACCGCTGAAGTTACTTAGTTCTGCTTTAACTTATCGAGCTGTGTTTCTAATGTGTGCATCGTGTCACCATGGAGACTAGATATTCCTTAGACATAAGCAGTGGTACCATATTCCGGACGGATCGAAGCATCGGCTGGAGCGTGCGAGCCAGGACTCCGTTTGAGTCGTCGATGCGACTCATGTCACTGTCCCCGTTAGCGTCTATGTACATGTGCTCCAGACCTGTGCGCACGTTGAGCTCCACAGGGGCTTTGTACACGACGAACCTGAAGAGAGAAGATCACAATTAAACACGGCACAAAAGAAAACAGAACAAACCAGAAAGAAGGGTAACGCTTTCTCTTCTCATCCAAGAGGCTTTATCAACAGTCCACTCACTGCACAGCTCCTCCTTTGTTAAAGCGGTACGTGCTCCATGCTGGTTTTCCTTTTAGTACTTCAGACCTCAGTCCGTCAGTGTCTTTGAGGATTTGAGGAAGTCTCTCCACCTCACGCCTGGTTTACACTGACTGCAGGGAGGCTTTGGGGAGCACTGTGAGCAGGTTAGTCTCAGTTCTCTTTCCTCGCTTCCTTCTCCTTGTTCCTCAGTTTTTCAGCTGTCGATCAGATGTGTCCTGTGAAGTGTTGTCCCAAAGAAAACCGTGGAAGGAAGGAGTGAACCTGAGGGAGGAGTCAGGAGCAGACGTCAGAGAAAAGAATCAAACTGAATTCGTTCTCAGTGAGGAGTTCAGATCCTCTCTCCTCCCTCTGTCTCCTCTGTGGGTGGGACTTCCTGCAGAACTGAGGAGAGGAATCAAGGAGATAGAAGCAAGGAAAGAGAAATGAGACGCTGCTTTGGAGACTCCTCTTGATGACAACACAAATACAAATCCCCTTTATTAATTCTGTACATAATTCCATAGACTCTAGCGCCATCATAGACTGTATAAAGAAGTGTTCTGAGTGTAACGTCACCCACGGGACACTGGAACACTGGACCAGCTCTACACTCTCCATCAGGTGCTCCAGGGTTCATGGGAGTTTGCTAAACCAGTCCACATGAGCTTTGTGGATCTGGAGAAGAGTCGACCGTGTCCCTCGTGTGGGGTCAGGTCCCTGAGTGACCGGAGCAGGAGCTGTGTTCATTGCTGCAGTAAGTCAGACCTGTTCCCGGTGCATGTTGGACTCCGCCAGGGCCGCACCTGTCACCGGTTCTGTTCATTGTTTTTATGGACAGAATTTCTAGGTCTGCTGTTCACAGATGATGTTGTCCTGATGTTTCTCCACCTGCAGGTGGTGGAGAGTCTCTGCCTCAAGTGGAGGAGTTCAAGTGTCGGGGTCTTGTTCTTGAGTGAGGGGAGGATGGAGCGAGAGACTGACAGGTGGACAGGTGCAGCGTGAGCAGATTGACAGGTGGACAGGTGCGGCGTGGGCAGTGATGAGTCTCCGTTCCTCCCCTCACCTTTGGTCATGACCCAAAGGACCAGATCCACAATACAAGAGACACAGATGAGTTTCCTCCTCAGGACGTCCAGGCGTCTTCCTTAGAGACAGAGTGAGGAGCTCGGAGTAGAGCCGCTGCTCCTCCACGTGGAGAGGAGCGTCTGAGGGGAGGACGTCTGTTCTGATGTCTCCTGGACGTGTCCCTCAGGAGGTGTTCATGTCCCACCGGGGAGGAGGCCCCGGGAGAAGACCCAGGACACACTGGAGGGACGATGTCTCTGGACTGGGCTGGGTCACCTCAGGTCCCACTGGAGGAGCTGGAGGAAGTGTCTGGGGTGAAGGAAGTCTGGGAGTCTCTGCTCAGACTGATGCTCTGAGACCCGACCCCAGAGAAGAAGAACATGGATGGACGTCACTCACAACATTCAGCTCCAAATGAAGCTCATCGAGGCCTGCAGTTCTCTTGGCTAATCTGGAGCCAGGGCCAGACTGAAAATTCAACCGTATCATAGTAACTAAAGAGCCAATCAGGAGCGAGGCTGTTGAAGGTATCACCTCTTCCCACCGCTGGTTTAGCAGGGAGTGTGTGTTCAGCAACGCTGTCAGTCAAACCTGTTGCTAACTCTAGAGAGCGCGACCTCGGGGAAAGTAGATGCTTTATTTATCTGTTATTAATGTTCATCTTGATTTATGGATTAAACTGATCAATAAAAACACGAGGATCATGTAGAGCGAACATTTTAAGACCAAAATGACGAGTCTAACAGCAGCAGTTACAGAGAGAGGAGCCACAGTTTCTCAACAGAAAGTGGACTGGAGTGGAGCCGATGGAGCTGGAAGCGCGCCTGTGCTCACTTCCTGTTTGGGATGCGGCTAGTGCGTTAGCTATGTCCATTTCTATCCAGTCTGTGAGACCCACAGGCCGCACACCTCCAGTACAGTGTAGTGTGTGACTCACCAGTCGACGTCGCCGCCGTTGGCGTCTTTGCAGCTCACGTGAACCGGAGCATCGACAGCAGAGACCTCAGCGCTCCAGAACAGAACCAGACTCACGGAGACCCAGACCACATGATCCCTGCAGACACAGACCCCAGACACAGACCCAACATGATCCCTGCAGAGACACAGACCCAACATGATCCCTGCAGAGACACAGACCCAACATGATCCCTGCAGAGACACAGACCCAACATGATCCCTGCAGAGACCCAACAGACCCAGACCCAACATGATCCCTGCAGAGAGACCCAACAGACCCAGACCCAACATGATCCCTGCAGACACAGACCCAACATGATCCCTACAGACCCAACATGATCCCTGCAGAGACACAGACCCAACATGATCCCTGCAGAACAGACCCCACAGACCCAACATGATCCCTGCAGAGACACAGACCCAACATGATCCCTGCAGAGACACTCTTCCTCCTCAGAGACACAGAGAGAATATACCCCATCATCAGAAGTTTGGACACTTTTCCTTCTTTATTTCCATGATTATTTACACAGTAGATTCTCCCGAGGCAGAAGTGGAGTCACATTTTATAAAGTGTGTTGGTTTTATTGTCCAGTTTTAAACATCGACATGTGTAGAAAAAACAAAAAATGTGTCTGTTTGCTGCAGGTGTTCCAATCAGTGGGAGCAGGTAGAGGGCGCTCTTGGAAAAAGGATCAAAACTTTAAATGGAATCCAGGTGTTCCAAAGAAGCAAAAAAATCACACAAGGAAAAATATGTAGTTAAAAGGCCTTTATTTAAAAGGACAAGGCCGACATGTTTCAACCCATCAGGGCTTAGAGTAAAAAAACAGCGCATGGGTGTGGCCTTAAAGTAAAACACACCAACCAATACATACATCATGAATTTCAGACTTCCGGTCATCGCACAATCCAGTTTGTTTTCCCAGTGGGACGTGTCTATTGTCAAAGTCGATCTTTTCAAGTCTTTTGAACCATTTCACTTTTGTTTCTGGTTCTGATATTGTCATATTTTAGTTTTGGGATTCGGACATCGTAATTGTTGTGGTTGTTGGATCCAAACAGCAGAAAATGACTCGAGAAATGTGTTTGTGAACTTCATAAATGCAAAAGTGAATCAGATGTGTGTGACTCAAACCTCCGTTCAAACTGTTTCTCTTCCCAACGGAATTGAAAAATAGTGAAAGGTGAAGGTGATGGGCAGGAGGATTGATCCACAGGAAGAACCAAAAAGGAAACATTTGTCTGACTAAGAAATCATCCCGAGTTTACAGAGAACATTTTGTATGTGGAGCCACGACAAAAAACTAAATCTCGCTCAACCTCGGTTATGAATTTAAAAAGTCGACACCAAAGTGAAAGTCTCCAACTGTTCACCAAGAAACACCTTCCACTGCAAAGACCAAGACGTGATGTTTGTGTAAAACCACAAGAACAAGAAAAGTGCAGCTCAGTCTGTTTGTTTGTCTTCTGCTCCTCTACATTAACAAACCGGATTTTGTTTTGTTGTTTGTTTGTTGCAATTCTACAAGGACTCAGGACTAAACCAGAACTAAACCAGAACCAGGACTAAACCAGAACCAGGACTCACTGTCTGTGCTCGGGAGGTCCTGTAGACCCGAGTGTCCGCGGGTTAAAGGACCGGTGCAGAGCTCGGAGACGAGGAACGTGCAGCCGTCGCGCTTTTCGGACACACACTGTTCCACGAGGCTCAGGGTTCACTTCCTCTCTCTCTGTCTTCAAGATTAGACCTGGTTTAGGTCTGGTTTAGACCTGGTTTAGTCCTGGTTTAGGTCTGGCTTAGACCTGGTTTAGTCCTGGTTTAGATCTGGTTTAGTCCTGGTTTAGTCCTGACCCGCCCTTAATTCCAGAACGTTAAAACTCGTCTGTTTCAGTGACTATTTGTCCGTATCCTTCGGTGCTGGACTCTGTATCCACATATAAATGTATCGACTTTATTACCTGGACGGACATAAGATTTTAATCATGTTCATAATGTTTGTTAATTATAGATGATTTTACCTTATTTAAAAAAAAAAAAAAAAAAGAAACGGAGGTGTTTAATGTGCGTGTTAATAGATTTAAACCCCATTAAACACAAACGTGTTGCAGTTCTACACTTAATTCACACACACATTTAATACACATTCTAACTTAATACACTTTAACAATAAATTAAATGATAAAAGCAAGTACAAATGTGATGTGTGTGAAAACAGTGAGAGGATGTGCAGCTGCAGCAGGAGCAGCTCTGGTGTGAGTTCGGGCTGAGCTCCAGCAGAGGGCGCCACACTCCGGGTCTGTGGGCAGAGACAGGATTAAGAATAAAAGTTTGAATAGTTTATTGGAAGGTTAAACTTTGGTGTTTAGACCCGCGGGTAAAAATATCAGTGAAGAAATGATCCGACTCCCATAAAAAGATGTGAACTCCAATACCCAGTTTAGACTGATGAATTTGTGAATTACTCAGTAGATTTTAAAATAAAGTGACCATATTTCCATTTGTGAAAACCCGGACACCTGACGGAGGCGGGAGGAGGGGCCTCCACATTGAGCTACAGTCGTCCCTCGATATATCGCGGTTCACCTTTCGCGGTCTCGCTGATTTATTTATTTTTTTTAACCCATGGGTGGGTCAGGACTAAACCAGGTCTAAACCAGGACTAATCTTGGATTTAAGAGAGAAAACGACGAGCAGTTTGTCTGCAAAGCCCATCAGGCAACTGCCGCGTTTAACTCCGAGAGGTGTGGAGCTGAGCCGCGCCTTTCTCCTGCACCACCTCCAGCCCAACACGGACTCTGGTTCAGTCCTGGTTCAGTCCTGAGTGTTAAGTCCTGGTTCAGTCCTGGTTCAGTCCTGGTTCAGTCCTGGTTTAGTCCTGTTCAGTCCTGGTTTAGTCCTGGTTCAGTCCCTGGTTTAGTCCTGGTTTAGTCCTGGTTCAGTCCTGGTTTAGTCTGGTTCATCCTGGTTCTGGTTCAGTCCTGGTTTAGTCTTGGTTCAGTCCTGGTTTCAGTCCTGGTTAGTCCTGGTTCAGTCCCTGGTTTAGTCCTGGTTAGTCCTGGTTTAGTCCTGGTTCAGTCCTGGTTTAGTCCTGGTTCAGTCCTGGTTTAGTCCTGTTTAGTCCTGGTTTAGTCCTGGTTTAGTCCTGTTTAGTCCTGGTTCAGTCCTGGTTTAGTCCTGGTTCAGTCCTGGTTTCCTGGTTCAGTCCTGGTTCTGATTCAGTCCTGGTTCAGTCCTGGTTCACTCCCTGGTTTAGTCTTGGTTCAGTCTGTGTGTAGGCAGGGCAAAAGTTTGATATAATCACGGGTTAACGGGCAGGTGTGGTCCTGTCCTGCGCAGGTGCGGTGTTGTACTGCAGGTCTCCAAAAATGGACCCGTGCAGGACTCTGCTCTGTCGGCTTTGTTACGGAATAAATGAATCTTCAGTTTGTTACATAAAGAAGGAGGAAAATAACAAAAGGACGACAGCAGCAACAAGTTTGAAGGAAGTAAAAAGTGTTGTAAATGTCCTGTGTGAGAAAAGTGTTTAAAGTTTGTGGTGAGGAGTTTTACAGCTTTAAAACAGATAGAATAATTGTAAAAATATAAAGTTGATACTTTGCACCTGGTTATTTTAGAACATAAACCCCTGCAATAAACGAGGGACACTGTCCTCTCACTCACATTTGCATTTGTGCTTCGGTGTGTTTCAGACTGACTGTTTGTGTCTCGCTCCTTCTGAGTCACAGACGCTACGAAAGCCGATCAATTTAATGCCCCAATGAACTGTACTGAAAACCCGGACATTTCCATCACTTAAAAAAAAAAAAACCCTGACACCCAGGATAAGATGCAAAATACGGACATGTCCGGGGAAAAACAGACGTTTGGTCGCCCTATTTTAAAAGCTTCTTCACTATTTGAGTTTCTTTATAAATGCTAAAATTATTTGTGGAGAACAACTGGTGCAATCGAGTCGTCTTTTTAAAGTGTGTGTTTATTCACAGAAAACCAAAGTAACCAAAAATATCAGAGTTTGCCGGGGGGTGAGTAAGATTCAGAACACACTTCACGTCCAAACATGCTGGATTCTGATTGGTGGAGGGACACTGCGCCGCACTAGATCCCTGCAGGTGATTGGCTCTGATCAGTGTCCAGAGTTAAACGACCAAACACTCAAAGGTTCATTTCTCTGCCCATTTCAAAACTTTATCAACTGTCAACTTTTCAAATAAAGAGAAAGTGAAAGTATGAGTCTCTGTAGAAAGAGTGGACCGTTCTGACAACAAATGATTCTTAATATGAGTGTAAAACGATAATATTCAGACGATGTTATGTGCTAAAATATGACTTTAAATGTGTTTTGTCGAGGTTCATAAATCAGACAAATGTGAAATGGCTTAAAAAAAATGACCCACAAAAGTGCAGAAATATCAGTGATTTGGAAGCAGCTTTTTGTCCATTTTCATGTTTGATTCTTTACAGTGTTTTTTCAAATAAACAGTACATTTATATATATTTAAAAATGCATATATTGAAAAAATATAACGATAATCCAATCCACTTTTCTGTTTCTGTTCAATTCAAGATTTTTTGTCACCGCTTCTGACCCTTTCTTTTTCTGACCCCAAGATTTATGACACTGCTTCTTCTCACATGGTACATTTAATTATGGCTTTTCTCTGGACTCTCAACTTTTTCAGTCAATAAAAAAACAAAACAAACAAACATTAAACATAAAAAACTTAAAAACGATCCACCTTTGGCCTCTGTCTCCTTTTTCTGACCCAAACTGCATTTTCTATTCCAAAACTAAACGGTCACAGAGAAATATCCTGGATTAAGATGGAACTAAATAAATGTTGTTTTGGTCTTTGATTGGCTTTTATTTGCTCCACGTGAACTGCACGGTTTTTCACATTTGATCCCGATTAAAAACAGAAATATCATTAAAACGATCATTAAATTCTGTGGTGAAACGTGAGGCTCATTCTGCCTCTGAACCTGGAGCAAAGACTCTGGTCTGATCCACTTTAAAACAAGAATCACAAACATAAAAAAAAAAAAAAAACAAGTCCATTCCTCCTGACTGGTCTCTGCAGCTTCAGGGTTGTGGGTTCGATTCCCAGCTCTGATAATTTACAGAATATCTCTCCTCGCTCTAAATGTGCTTCCTAATCAGGCATTGCTCTTGTGTTGTAGTTTTTGGGAGCCTCTGGTTTCTTCACATTGATGTCGATACTTTCACGACAGACGCGAGTCAAACCTGTTCCCTGGAGCTTTAGAGACGGATCAGGCAGGAGACGCTGTTACAGAAAATCTCCAGACAAAAACTCCAGAGAAATCAACTGTATTAAACTTGTGAAGAGGCTGTGCCCAGAAAAGAACCAAAACAGACACGTGTGAAACTACAGACTCTGCTCAACTTTACCCACAAACTACATCATGTCACTGTCAGTATATTACTGTATTTAACGGATGTGTGAAGAATCCCTCAGCAGAATCCACGTCGAGGAGAAAATTCAGTTTGTCGACTGGACAGAAGTTAATTTGGTTGAAGACGTTTCTCGGCTCGTCCAAGCTGCTTCTTCAGTTCTGGTCAGACGCTGGTGTTATGTGGAGGGACCCAAAAAAAAACAGACTGAAGACCGGTTCACAAAAATAAAAAAGTAGAATTTATTTTACAGTTGGTAGAATGAGAGCTGGAGCAGGGCTGGAGACGGCAGGATCACTGGAGAGCAGAGAGGGCAGGTAAGGAAAATGTCGAGGCAAAAAGGTAAGTGGCAAAAAAACTGGAGATTGAGGAGCCAAGAGGTTCACCGTGTGTTGGTAGAAAACAACCTGGCAGAGTCTGGCAGGTGAGCAGGTCTCAAGTAGTTGGGCTCCTGATTGTTCGCAGGTGAAGCGAATCAGAGGTCCAGGAGACTCCACCCACACACACACACACACACACACACACACACACACACACACACACACACACACACACACACACACACACACACACACACACACACACACACACACACACACACACACACACACACACACACACGGGGGAAAGGAGCGAGGGGAGCACCAGCCATGACACTTCCTTATATCTGCAGGAGGAGCTAACTACACTGAAACTACTCTGAAACTAACACACTTTACAGTTTATGTTTGTTAGTTGGGCTTATTGACCTGTGCAGGGTGTGAGACTAATTATCAGAACAGTTCATGTCCATAATGGAGCTTCCACACCTCTGGTCCTGACCTGACTCCACCTGTTGTTCTTGTTTGTTTTGTTTGAGGTTGGAGGTTGGACGTGTAAACAGGAGGTAGATGGAGTCTGAGTTCATTTCTGTTTAGAGAAAGATTCTCTTTCTTAACAAAAACAGCTTCTTTCTCTCTCCTCTCAAACCAGTTCTTTTCTCTGGCTAAAATCTGCACCTCACTGTCCTCAAACGAGTGGCCTGTGGGTTTTAAGTGGAGATGAACATCAGACTGTGGTCCTGTGTTGTTCTCTCGTCTGTGTTGGTTCTTGTGAAGTGTCTGTTTAGTTTCTCCAGTGTCACTTCAGTCTTCACTGCACTGAATGGAGGAGACCACATTGTTTTGTTTGTGTCTCTGTGTTTTGTCCTTTGGGTTGGACCAGTTTCTGTCTTAAAGTGTTTGTAGGTTTGAAATATTTTGGGATCTCATGTTGTCTGAAAATCCTCTGTAGTTTTTTCAGAAACACCTGCCGTATAAGGAACAGTTCCCCCCTTTCTCCTGGGTTCTGATTCTCTGTTGTCCTGTTTTTTAGTTCTCTTGGTTTTGTTGAAGGCCCATTTTGGATCTCCACCTGCGTCTGACCAGAACTGAAGAAGCAGCTTGGATGAGCCGAGAAACGTCTTCAACCAAACTAACTTGTTTCCAGTCGACAAACTGAATTTTCTCCTCGCCGTGTACTTAACGGAGAAACTATAGAAAAACAACTCAACTTTATGCACTGGTACAAAACTGTCTGAGCCAAAGTGAAGAACTGTAAGAGCTGCTTTAGTATCAGTCATTTATTTGATCCATGGAACCGTATTTTCCGCACTATTAGTCGCTCTGGATTATAAGACGCACTCATTAAATGGACTATTTTCGAACTTTTTTTCACAAATAAACCTCGTGGGACTTTAAAGGAAACACAACAGTGTGATGTGTGAGTGGTTTTGTTTGTTTGTTCGTTCACGGTGACTCTGGGCTTTGTTCAGTTGTGGCGTGTAGGGAGTAGTGTCTGTCGCTGGATTGTCGTCGTGTTCGCAGTGACTCAGTTGTTCAGTCGTGTCTAGAAGCGGCACGTCGAGCTCGTGGCTTTTTCGGTTCGTTCCTCCATTCCGTTCCTCACATTTTTGGCTCTTTTTGTTGTTTTGTAAACGCTATAATCACCCGCAACAACAGATTAACGTGTTTTATAAGTTTCTTTTTTGCTGCTAAGTCGCTCCCCCTTCAGAGCGCTCTCACCGTGCGTCCCTCTAACGAAATTACTGCGGTTTTTTGTCATGTTTTTGTATTATTTATGGAGAATTTTCATGTTTATTGTCATATTTATGGAGAAATCTTGTGAAGAGAGATCGCTAGATTACTCAAACACACGTGGATGTCTCTAAAATCTCTTCAGACATGTTTTTTTTTTTTTAGACGATGGAACATTAAAACATGAGAGAAAGCTTCAAATATCCCCCTCTTTAAGCACAGTTTTTCCATTCATCTGGACAGAAATTCTAATCTCGGTAAAACAGCATTTCAGTTTTGTCCGTCGTTATTGGTCATTTTTTACATTTTTAAACTTTCGTGTAGGGAGGGTGTGTCTGGGACCAACGGATTGTCGGCGTGTTCGCAGTGACTCAGTTGTTCAGTCGTGTCTAGAAGTCGTTTTTTCAGTTCGTTCCTCCGTTCCGTTCGTCGTCGGCGTGGAGTGATGAGTGTGTGTGTGGGTGTGTTTCTCTGTGCGGTCGCTGTCTGCTCCGCGTGTTCTGTGGGTGTTTTTTTTACGGAAGCCGAGAGGCGTCACAACAAACGCAGACGCCTCAACAAAATACAAATGCGACAACACAACAAAAAAGCCACAACAGAAGTGACCATGGGACTCTATTTTCCGTCGGACCGATCAAGCGGCAAGTGAAGAAGAAGAACTACAACGTGAAAAGTAAAGGAACGGAGAAGTTGGAAACGTTAGTAGAAGTAATCGTTTTCTCGACAGAACTACAACGTGAAACGAATAATGAGAAAACGATAAATTACTTTTACTAACGTTTCCAACTTCTCCGTTGGTCCGCGGTCACTTCCGTTGTGGCTTTTTTAATGTTTGTGTTGTGGCTTTTAGGCGTTTGTGTTGTGGCTTTTTAATGTGTTGTGGCTTTAGTGTTTGTGTTGTGGCTTTTTTAATGTGTTGTGGCTTTTAGTGTTTGTGTTGTGGGCTTTTTATGTGTTGTGGCTTTAGTGTTTTGTTGTGGCTTTTTAATGTGTGTTGTGGCTTTTGCGTTTGTGTTGTGGCTTTTTAATGTGTTGTAGCATTTGCATTTGTGTTGTGGCGTTTGTATTTTGTTGCGGCGTTTGCATTAAAAATAAAGTCCCGCGGTCACTTGTGGCTTTCCGTTGTGGCTTTTTAATGTGTTGTGGCTTTTTAATTTGTGGCTTTTTAATGTGTTGTGGCCTTTTTTAATGCGTTGTGGCTTTTTTAATGTGTTGTGGCTTTTTTAATGTGTTGTGGCTTTTTGTGTTGTGGCTTTTTTAATGTGTTGTGGCTTTTTAATGTGTTGTGGCTTTTTTAATGTGTTTTGTGGCTTTTTAATGTGTTGTGGCATTTGCGTTTGTGTTGCAGCGTTTGTATTAAAATAAAGTCCCGCGGTCATTTCCATTGTGGCTTGTTTTGGTTTGTTGTGGCTTTTTGTTGTGTTGTCACCTTTGTATTTGTGGCAGCGGCTTCCGTAGTTTTTGGTTGTGCGGTCGCTGTCTGCTCCGTGTGTGTTTGTGTGTTCTGTGGGTGGTGTGTGTTTGTAGTTCACTGGAGTCGTGCTGGGACACCCGAGTGGATTCGTGTATAGGGGCTCTGGATTGTGGCGCGCAGTCGTTTTTTCAATGGGGTTGGAGGATTAAGAGCGCGACTAATAGCCCGGAAAATACGGTAATCCCACGGCAGCGGAGTGGTCGTCTGATTTTGTGGCTGCTTCACGCACTGAGCAGTTTTTGAATCAGTTTTTGTGTTTTGAGCTCAGTTTTTAACATGATATCATCCCAACTAAGAAGTGCAGCAGGTGGAGTGAACAGGACACAAGTGAGGAACTGAAAAAAACAAACACTTTCTCTTCTGTGTTTGTCAGAGGAGTTCACGGACTCGTCTCTTTCACCAGAGTCGCAGAGGAAACTTCTTTATCCCACAGTCCAAACCCTAAAAACAGAGGCTCAGAGAAGGACGAGGAGAAGGTCCAGAGGTGGGACAGTTCTTCATCAGAGGAGGCGTCATAGAAGGACAGAGCTCCAGCCTCAGAGTCCAGGAACACGCCCACTCTGCCAAAGAACACGCCCCCTTTACCAGAGGACACGCCCCCTTTCTCTGAGTGACAGGAGCGGTTGAGTTGCGTTGTGTCGCTGTTGTGAACGACATAGCAAACTCCGCCGTCAGAGATCCCCAGACTCCAGGAGTGATCGTTGAATCCAAACGCATTCGCCCGTCCCCGTCCTCTCCGTCCGATCCCTCTGTAACTCACTGCGATGTGAACCCTCCCGCTCCAGTCCACCTCCCAGTAACAGCGCCCCCTCAGGCCAGTGCTGCTCAGGACCTGAGGGTGGTCCGTGAACCTGTCGTCATGATCTGGATACTCCTGCTCCTCCTCCACTCGAGTCACAGTCCGATCTTCCTCAGACAGAAGCAGACGTCTGTGAGCTGAGTTTGGGTCCAGAGAAACGTCACAGGAGTCTGAAACACAAACACTTCACCTCATTCTTTTGTTCTGTCTATTTCTTAAACTCTCAGATGCTGAAGAGGAAAAGTAAAGGAAAACTAGGCTGGACGTATTTGAAACTCTCTGAAACATTTTCATATCGTGTAGATGAGATGAGTGTGGCTCTTGTTTACAGTACGGTTGCTCGGTCACAGTTATAGAACCACTTCGACATGTCACATCTGCGGCTCATGGCCCAGTGAAATGATAAACTTCACCAAAATGATGGAGTCTGAAACACAAACACTTCACCTCAGTCTTTTATTATGACTGAGTCTATGTTTAACAGAGATTCAGACCCATTTCAAACAGAGTGAATGACCTGAGTGAATGACCTGAGTGAATGACCTGAGTGAATGACCTGAGTGAATGATGACCTGAGCTGTTCTCTGCACTTTACTGTGTGAAAGAAACAAAACAAACTCACACTTCCTCAGACCTGGAACCATCCAGCGCTCTCCAGCAGGATCCAACCTGAAAACACACAAGTCCAGTTTAGACCAGGACCAGACCAGGACCAGACCAGACCAGGACCAGACCAGGACCAGGACCAGGACCAGGACCAGGACCAGGACCAGACCAGACCAGACCAGGACCACCAGACCAGACCAGGACCAGAGACCAACACCAGTGCAGTCTCACCTGACAGACAGCAGGGGGCGCTGGTCCTGTAGAGCGGTCAGGAGCTCGGCGGAGGGTCCTGGATGGTTGTAGCTCAGGTCGAACTCTCTGAGGTGGGAGGGGGCGGAGCTCAGAGCTGAGGCCAGAGCAGCCCCGCCCCTCTCTGAGACCAGACATCCAGACAGCCTAAAGACACAGCATTACACTCATGTGGACACAAGGGGGCAGAGTGCATCATGGGAGCGTCTCACCTGAGCGTCTCCAGTCTGCAGGGGGCGCTCTTCAGTCCAGAACACAGCAGCTCCACTCCTGAGTCCTGGAGGTCGTTGTGACTGAGATCCAGATGTGTGAGAGACTGGAGGAGCTGAGGACTGAGGCCAGAGGAGCACAGCTGTGAGGAGACAGACCACAGTCCAACGACCTCCAGGACTCAGGAGTGGAGCTGCTGTGTTCTGGACTGAAGAGCGCCCCCTGCAGACTGGAGACGCTCAGGTGAGACGCTCCCATGATGCACTCTCCCCCTTGTGTCCACATGAGTGTAATGCTGTGTCTTTAGGCTGTCTGGATGTCTGGTCTCAGAGAGGGGCGGGGCTGCTCTGGCCTTCAAGCTCTGAGCTCCGCCCCCTCCCACCTCAGAAGTTCGACCTGAGCTACAACCATCCAGGACCCTCCGCCGAGCTCCTGACCGCTCTACAGGACCAGCGCCCCCTGCTGTCTGTCAGGTGAGACTGTCTGTACTGGTGTTGGTCTCTGGTCCTGGTCTGGTCCTGGGTCTGGTCTGGTCCTGTCCTGGTCCTGGTCTGGTCCTGGTCTGGTCCTGGTCTGGTGGTCTGGTCTGGTCCTGGTCTGGTCTAAACTGGACTTGTGTGTTTCAGGTTGGATCCTGCTGGAGAGCGCTGGATGGTTCCAGGTCTGAGGAAGTGTGAGTTTGTTTTGTTTCTTTCACACAGTAAAGTGCAGAGAACAGCTCAGGTCATTCACTCAGGTCATTCACTCAGGTCATTCACTCAGGTCATTCACTCAGGTCATTCACTCTGTTTGAAATGGTCTGAATCTCTGTTAAACATAGACTCAGTCATAATAAAAGACTGAGGTGAAGTGTTTGTGTTTCAGACTCCATCATTTTGGTGAAGTTTATCATTTCACTGGGCCATGAGCCGCAGATGTGAATGTCGAAGTGGTTCTATAACTGTGACCGAGCAACCGTACTGTAAACAAGAGCCACACTCATCTCATCTACACGATATGAAAATGTTTCAGAGAGTTTCAAATACGTCAGCCTAGTTTCCTTTACTTTTCCTCTTCAGCATCTGAGAGTTTAAATAGACAGAACAAAAGACTGAGGTGAAGTGTTTGTGTTTCAGACTCCTGTGACGTTTCTCTGGACCCAAACTCAGCTCACAGACGTCTGCTTCTGTCTGAGGACCATCGGACTGTGACTCGAGTGGAGGAGGAGCAGGAGTATCCAGATCATGAGAACAGGTTCACGGACCACCCTCAGGTCCTGAGCAGCACTGGCCTGAGGGGGCGCTGTTACTGGGAGGTGGACTGGAGCGGGAGGGTTCACATCGCAGTGAGTTACAGAGGGATCGGACGGAGAGGACGGGGACGGGCGAATGCGTTTGGATTCAACGATCACTCCTGGAGTCTGGGGATCTCTGACGGCGGAGTTTGCTATGTCGTTCACAACAGCGACACAACGCAACTCAACCGCTCCTGTCACTCAGAGAAAGGGGGCGTGTCCTCTGGTAAAGGGGGCGTGTTCTTTGGCAGAGTGGGCGTGTTCCTGGACTCTGAGGCTGGAGCTCTGTCCTTCTATGACGCCTCCTCTGATGAAGAACTGTCCCACCTCTGGACCTTCTCCTCGTCCTTCTCTGAGCCTCTGTTTTTAGGGTTTGGACTGTGGGATAAAGAAGTTTCCTCTGCGACTCTGGTGAAAGAGACGAGTCCGTGAACTCCTCTGACAAACACAGAAGAGAAAGTGTTTGTTTTTCAGTTCCTCACTTGTGTCCTGTTCACTCCACCTGCTGCACTTCTTAGTTGGGGATGATATCATGTTAAAAACTGAGCTCAAAACACAAAAACTGATTCAAAAACTGCTCAGTGCGTGAAGCAGCCACAAAATCAGACGACCACTCCGCTGCCGTGGGATTACCGTATTTTCCGGGCTATTAGTCGCGCTCTTAATCCTCCAACCCCATCGAAAAAACGACTGCGCGCCACAATCCAGAGCCCCTATACACGAATCCACTCGGGTGTCCCAGCACGACTCCAGTGAACTACAAACACACACCACCCACAGAACACGCAAACACACACGGAGCAGACAGCGACCGCACAACCAAAAACTACGGAAGCCGCTGCCACAAATACAAAGGTGACAACACAACAAAAAGCCACAACAAACCAAAACAAGCCACAATGGAAATGACCGCGGGACTTTATTTTAATACAAACGCTGCAACACAAACGCAAATGCCACAACACATTAAAAAAGCCACAAAACACAAAAGCCACAACACATTAAAAAGCCACAAAACACATTAAAAAGCCACAACACATTAAAAAAGCCACAACACATTAAAAAAGCCACAACACATTAAAAAGCCACAACGCATTAAAAAAGCACAAACGCAACACATTAAAAAGCCACAACACAAAAAAGCCACAACACATTAAAAAGCCACAACGGAAGTGACCGCGGGACTTTATTTTAATGCAAACGCCGCAACAAATACAAACGCCACAACACAAATGCAAATGCTACAACACATTAAAAAGCCACAACACAAACGCTAAAGCCACAACACATTAAAAAGCCACAACACAAACACTAAAGCCACAACACATTAAAAAGCCACAACACAAACACTAAAGCCACAACACATTAAAAAGCCACAACACAAACACTAAAGCCACAACACATTAAAAAGCCACAACACAAACGCTAAAGCCACAACACATTAAAAAGCCACAACGGAAGTGACCGCGGACCAACGGAGAAGTTGGAAACGTTAGTAAAAGTAATTTATCGTTTTCTCATTATTCGTTTCACGTTGTAGTTCTGTCGAGAAAACGATTACTTCTACTAACGTTTCCAACTTCTCCGTTCCTTTACTTTTCACGTTGTAGTTCTTCTTCTTCACTTGCCGCTTGATCGGTCCGACGGAAAATAGAGTCCCATGGTCACTTCTGTTGTGGCTTTTTGTTGTGTTGTCGCATTTGTATTTGTTGAGGCGTTTGCGTTTGTTGTGACGCCTCTCGGCTTCCGTAAAAAAACACCCACAGAACACGCAAACACACACGGAGCAGACAGCGACCGCACAGAGAAACACACCCACACACACACTCATCACTCCACGCCGACGACGAACGGAACGGAGGAACGAACCTGAAAAACGACGAGTCCAACGTGCCGCTTCTAGACACGACTGAACAACTGAGTCACTGCGAACACGCCGACAATCCGTTGGTCCCAGACACACCCTCCCTACACGAAAGTTTAAAAATGTAAAAAATGACCAATAACGACGGACAAAACTGAAATGCTGTTTACCGAGATTAGAATTTCTGTCCAGATGAATGGAAAACTGTGCTTAAAGAGGGGGATATTTGAAGCTTTCTCTCATGTTTTAATGTTCCATCGTCTAAAAAAAAAAAACATGTCTGAAGAGATTTTAGAGACATCCACGTGTGTTTGAGTAATCTAGCGATCTCTCTGTACGAGATTTCTCCATAAATACGACAACAAACATGAAAATTCTCCATAAATAATACAAAAACGTGACAGAAAACCGCAGTAGTTTCGTTAGAGGGACGCGCGGTGATTGTGTTGTGATGGCGCTCTGAAGGGGGAGCGACTTAGCAGCAAAAAAGAAACTTATAAAACACGTTAATCTGTTGTTGCGGGAGATTATAGCGTTTACAAAACAACAAAAAGAGCCAAAAATGTGAGGAACGGAATGGAAGGAACGAACCGAAAAAGCCACGAGCTCGACGTGCCGCTTCTAGACACGACTGAACAACTGAGTCACTGCGAACACGACGACAATCCAGCGACAGACACTACTCCCTACACGCCACAACTGAACAAAGCCCAGAGTCACCGTGAACGAACAAACAAACAAAACCACTCACACATCACACTGTTGTGTTTCCTTTAAAGTCCCACGAGGTTTATTTGTGAAAAAAGTTCGAAAATAGTCCATTTAATGACAGTGACTTATAATCCAGAGCGACTAATAGTGCGGAAAATACGGTTCCATGGATCAAATAAATGACTGATACTAAAGCAGCTCTTACAGTTCTTCACTTTGGCTCAGACAGTTTTGTACCAGTGCATAAAGTTGAGTTGTTTTTCTATAGTTTCTCCGTTAAGTACACGGCGAGGAGAAAATTCAGTTTGTCGACTGGACACAAGTTAGTTTGGTTGAAGACGTTTCTCGGCTCATCCAAGCTGCTTCTTCAGTTCTGGTCAGACGCAGGTGGAGATCCAAAATGGGCCTTCAACAAAACCAAGAGAACTAAAAAACAGGACAACAGAGAATCAGAACCCAGGAGAAAGGGGGGAACTGTTCCTTATACGGCAGGTGTTTCTGAAAAACTACAGAGGATTTTCAGACGACATGAGATCCCAAAATATTTCAAACCTACAAACACTTTAAGACAGAAACTGGTCCAACCCAAAGGACAAAACACAGAGACACAAACAAAACAATGTGGTCTCCTCCATTCAGTGCAGTGAAGACTGAAGTGACACTGGAGAAACTAAACAGACACTTCACAAGAACCAACACAGACGAGAGAACAACACAGGACCACAGTCTGATGTTCATCTCCACTTAAAACCCACAGGCCACTCGTTTGAGGACAGTGAGGTGCAGATTTTAGCCAGAGAAAAGAACTGGTTCGAGAGGAGAGAGAAAGAAAAGCTGTTTTTGTTAAGAAAGAGAATCCTTTCTCTAAACAGAAATGAACTCAGACTCCATCTACCTCCTGTTTACACGTCCAACCTCCAACCTCCAACAAAACAAACAAGAACAACAGGTGGAGTCAGGTCAGGACCAGAGGTGTGGAAGCTCCATTATGGACATGAATTGTTCTGATAATTAGTCTCCACACCCTGCACAGGTCAATAAGCCCAACTAACAAACACAAACTGTAAACAAGTGTGTTAGTTTCAGAGTAGTTTCAGTGTAGTTAGCTCCTCCTGCAGATATAAGGAAGTGTCATGGCTGGTGCTCCCCTCGCTCCTTTCCCCCGTGTGTGTGTGTGTGTGTGTGTGTGTGTGTGTGTGTGTGTGTGTGTGTGTGTGTGTGTGTGTGTGTGTGTGTGTGTGTGTGTGTGTGTGTGTGTGTGTGTGTGTGTGTGTGTGTGTGTGTGTGTGTGTGTGTGTGTGTGTGTGGGCGGAGTCTCCTGGACCTCTGATTCGCTTCACCTGTGAACAATCAGGAGCCCAACTACTTGAGACCTGCTCACCTGCCAGACTCTGCCAGGTTGTTTTCTACCAACACACGGTGAACCTCTTGGCTCCTCAATCTCCAGTTTTTTGCCACTTACCTTTTTGCCTCGACATTTTCCTTACCTGCCCTCTCTGCTCTCCAGTGATCCTGCCGTCTCCAGCCCTGCTCCAGCTCTCATTCTACCAACTGTAAAATAAATTCTACTTTTTTATTTTTGTGAACCGGTCTTCAGTCTGTTTTTTTGGGTCCCTCCACATAACACCAGCGTCTGACCAGAACTGAAGAAGCAGCTTGGACGAGCCGAGAAACGTCTTCAACCAAACTAACTTCTGTCCAGTCGACAAACTGAATTTTCTCCTCGACGTGGATTCTGCTGAGGGATTCTTCACACATCCGTTAAATACAGTAAATAACTGACAGTGACATGATGTAGTTTGTGGGTAAAGTTGAGCAGAGTCTG